AAGGGCAGCATTGGTCAAAGGACAGAGTTTAGAAGGCAGGAAAGGTTAGGAGAGAAAGAGGACTGGAAATAGAAAACAAAGGGAGGAAGTGGGACAAGTGATATTATGTTGTGGGGGTTGCAATCAAGGACATGAAACAAAATGTGCATGAATAGTTGAATGGGAAACTGATTTGCTCTGTAAACCTTTACCCAAATCACAACAAAAAGTTTTTTGTAAAAAATTCAATCACTGAGAATTTACCATTTCAGTTTCCTAATTTTAAAATATATTGCAACTAAATGAGTAAGAAAACAAATTTTTATAAAGTTTTATTTTGAGCTAAGAGATGTTTAGTCTTGTTTTGGTTGTTATGTACCATTGAGTCAAACCCGACTCATAGCGACCCCTCCTTGGGTTTCCAAGGCAGTATCACTACAGAAGTAGATTGCTCAACCTTCCTTCCTAGGAGTGGCTGGTGGGTTTGAACCTCCAGTCTTCTGGTTAGCAGTCAAATGCCTTAAGCACTACACTACCAGAGCTCCTCTTGTTTTGGACAATAAACAAGAATGTTTTAGATTGTCCTCTGATGAATGGAACTTCTGGGTATTGTGTCTTTCTCTGGTATCTCCTTGTAGTAAGGCTTGGTTTCTTTTAGGAGATTAAAGGTAATATATGCCTACAAGGGATATGCAAGAGAGGCTAGTTTTCATAAAAGTTTACTTAGCCTGGTCCTAGGCAAAAGTATCAGCTAGATGAAATAGTTGGAAATTTTGTGGAGTAATTTCAGAAGCAAGCTAAAAAACTCATCTTTTATTTTTTAGCTGGTACTTGTTATTTCTACTAGGGAATTTCATGTCCTTTAATATGATACGTTGATTACCATAGAAATGGCATGCTTTATCCCTCCCCACCCCCACAAGCTACCACTGCACTTCCAATGAAGATGGCACATGAAGACATGAACTGTCAAATTTCACTATTAAGAACTCACTCCATATAATTTTCACATGTCCACAAGTGCTCAAAAAGTTTTTTTCAAATCTTATTTATGTATTTATAAACGTTTTACTCTATTTTTAAAATAATATATACATTGATGGACAAAGCCTTTTTAAGGTAGACAACAAAGGCAGAAATCATTTGGAGAAATTATGGCCATGAATTTATTAAAATATTTAAATGATTTAAATACCTTATTAGTAAAGTATCCTTATGAATAATATGAAGATGGAGAATCCAGTAAGAAAATAGTCAAAGGACACAGATAAGCAATTGAGGAGAAAATTTACAAACATCCAAGTCATTAAAGAATAATAAGCCCACACCACTAATAATCACTAAATGCATTGAAATGTCAATAAAACACATTTTCATGTAGCAAATAAGTAAAGATAAAAAGGGTGACACAATGTCTTGCCAAGAAAGGGAGAGGTGAACTACAGGCATTCTCATACATTAATTTAGTGAGATGAGTTTTGGTATAACGAAAAGAAAGTTTTTAAGGTGTATATTTATAATAATATATCTTAAATAATTATTTATACCCATAAAGTTTTAGCTGAAAGCATGGCTATTATCTAATCAGAAAAATTGAAACATCCATGTAATAAAATATATTTAAAAATACATTTTTAAAAGCTGGCATAAAATTATTCTATTGGCATGTAAAAATACTCAATATAATTCTTGAGTGGTAGGTTATAAAACAATACATATACTATAGTGATATATGTATGTGTTTCTTCTTTAAATACAACAGGAGCTCTGGGGGCAGTGGTTAAAATATTCAGCTGGTAACTAAAAGGTCAGTGGTTCAAACCCACCAGCCAGCTGCTCCAGGGGAGAAAAATGAGTCAATCTGCTCCCTTAAAGATTTACAGTCTTGGAAACCCTGTGGGGCCATTCTACTCTGTCTTTAGGGTTTAGGGTTGATTCCATGGAAGTGGGGTTTTTTTTGGTGGTATTAAATAGGATACACAGGGTTAATAGCTACATATATTATAGCTATTAAATCTATATCAATTTAACTATATCAATCTATAGATAGATATAGTTATAATCCCTTTGAACTCTAATTAAAGATAATTTTTAATTTTATCATTATTTATTTGATTTTTGGTTTGTTTGGTTTTATTTTTATTTTTTAAAGTGTTTTATTGTTATTTAGGTGGAAGTTTACAGAGTAGGTTGGTTTTCCATTCAATAGTTCATCCACATTTTGTTTTGTAACATTAATTGTAATACCCTCAATGTAACAGCACTCTTCCCACTTCCTCCTGCTCATTACCATTTCTCTTTGTCTTTTTTTCTTATGCTCTTTTGATTTTTCTAAATTGAAAACAATAGAATCTTATTAATTCAAAAAAGATTGTGTTTCATTTATTTTTTTCCTGATGAAAAAGATGTTGTTGGTCGGAGCCATCGCTTTGATTTTGACTCCTAGCGACCCTTATAAAACAGAGTAGAACTGCCCCATATGGAATCCTAAACTGTAATCTTATCGAAGCTGATCCTCAAGTCTTTTCTCCTGAGGAACAGCTATGGGTTCTGACTACTAACTTCTTGTTAGTAGCCAAGTAATTAACAACAGCGCCGGACTGTAATTAACAACAATTAGCAGGACTCCTTCATTAAAAAGGTAGTACATGTTCATTGCAGGAAAACAAATACCTCAGGAAATACAAGGTATAAAGCATAAAATGATTCTTACCCAGATGTTACCACTGTTAATAGCGTAGTGCCTAAGGCACTTGACTGCTAACCAGAAGGCTGGCGGTTCAAAGCCACCAGCCACTCCTCAGAAGGAAGGTTGTGCAATCTACTTCCATAGTGATACCACCTTGGAAACCCAAGGAGGGGTCGCTATGAGTCGAGTCCAACTCAATGGCACACGACAACAACAACAACACAGCTTAGCACACTGTTGTAATAATAAAATGGGATCTCTGTGGAAGTGATTTAGAAAATTAGTTACAGCCCCTAAAGTACCTTCTTTAATTCCAGGTAAAGAAACACTTTTGAACAGTTAACAATGTTTACTTTGTCTGACTGCAGGTATCACTAGTGTCTGGAGAAGAGGAATGATGACTTTGTAATTCTAAACGGAACAGATAAAAGGAGGAGAAATTAACTGACTTGGTGAACAAAGGAAAGTAGAGGGAGAAAGAACTGAAGATAGACTTTACCATCTTGACTACTTTGTCCAAGGTGGGAAAGCATCTTTGTTGTTGTTGGCTGCTGTTGAGTCAATTCCAACTCATGGATAGCAAGTCCTCTTTGGGTTACTGAGGCCGTATTTCTATGGAAGTAGATTCCCCAATCTGCCTTCTGGACAATGGCTGGTGGATTTGAACCAAGCCTTCTGGTTTGCAGTCAAATGCCTTAGGCACTACACCACAGAGCCCGCCTTTTTGTTTTGTTTTGATTTGTGGAGACTCCATGTGTGCAGAGTAGAAAAGGTCCATAGGGTTTTCAAGGTTGTGATCTTCTGGAAGCATTTGGCAGGCCTGTCTTCTGAGGAGCATCTGGGTAGGTTTAAACTGCCAGCCTTTCAGCCAGTAGTCAAGCACTGAACCTTTGCTTGAGCATTTCCCTAGGAAACCCAGGGAAAGCACCTTCCTGCCCTGCAGTGACTTGCTGTATTCTCTTCCAGAAAGATGCAATCACTCACTTTTCTCCAAGTCAGGCTGTTTTGAAAATTTTGTCTGGAAAAATGAATCATTTTCATGTCTTGATCAGTAAAATCCAATGTAGGGTGTATATACATATACATATCCCAGCAGGCAACCTGCCGCAATGTGAGGAAAATATTAGTAGTTCTCTTGCTATTTATGAAATCTTCTGTCTTAAATTTCAATTCTATTTTTATATTGTATATAATATTTTAGTGCAGTTGTATATGACTATGATTTGCAGGTAAATTAATATACCTGGTCACAGCATTTCTGCTGTTAGAGGAGTTCAATGAAAAAAAATTGGAGACCATATTTCTAAAGGTAAGGTCCTTATGTTGTTGCAGGCAGGTATTCTTTACTCTTGCATCCTGTTTAGTTTCTTTAATATGATTTTAGTAATTTAATTTTCATACTAAGTTAAAGCTTCAAAACTTCCTTGAACAAAACTGGTTTTATTTTTCAGACAGAAAAATCTGAAGCTTTTAAGAAGCAGTTTTTTTTTCTAGAGTTTTCTACAAAGCACAAGAGATAATTAGCCTGTAAAGTAAGCATTTTTCTTTACTGTTAGGACACTAAAAGTGTGTTTAGATCTACAGGTATTATTGAACACTACCTATGAGCAATATTCTCTGAAAAAGAGAAATCATGGAAAACATATAATTTCTTTGTTCAGGAATATAAATTGTGTTTTTGTAAATTATTGGGAAGAAAGTTTCATCATATCAGTGAATATTTATTTTATACTTCACACTAAGATCACGTATTAAATGAACTTATATCTAGAGTCAGTGGTGAAGAATGGCCGTCGTTCCTTACAAATAGTCTAACTTTAAAACTGTGTAATAAAAAGATAAAATAAGATATTAGCTTACATATTAATGTACTTGAATTTAAATGGCTGCCACTAAAGTGCATGAAGGAGCTCTGGTAGCATAGTGCCTAAGGCACTTGACTGCTAACCAGAAGGCTGGCAGTTCAAACCCACCAGCCACTCCTCGGAAGGAAGATGCTTCCGTAGTGATACTGCCTTGGAAATCCAAGGAGCGGTCGCTATGAGTCGGGTCTGACTCTAGGGCACATAACAACAACAACAAAGTGCATGAAATAACTTGTTTTATTAAGTAGGAAATGCTTCTATGATATTAATTTGCTTGTTGTTGTTGTTGTTACGTGTGGTCAAGTTGGCACAAACTAACAAAAATATGAAAATCTAAAATATGTAAGTGTATAGAGTGAGATTTGATGCCAGGCTTGGTGTTGCTTGCTTACTCCCACAATCCTGTGATGTTATTTCCATTTCATTTTATAGGAAATTTTCTGATCTGATTTTAGAACTTTGATATCATGGACCAAGGAAATAACTCAAGAGTAACTGAATTTGTGTTGCACAGTCTTTCCGGGCCTCGACAGCTACAACAATTCTATTTTGGTTTTTTCACCCTTTTCTATCTATCCACTGTGCTGGGAAACCTCCTCATTGTGCTCACAGTCCTTTCTGAACCTGCACTCCACACTCCAATGTACTTCCTGCTCAGCAACCTCTCCTTCATTGATGCATGTCTATCTACTTTTGCCACTCCCAGAATGATAGTTGACCTCCTCATGGAGCATAAGACCATCTCTTTTGAGGGCTGCATGGCCCAGATATTCTTTCAGCATGCACTTGCTGGTGGGGAAATGATGCTCCTAGTAGCTATGGCATATGACAGGTACGTAGCCATATGTCAACCCCTGCACTATGCAACCATTATGAATGTACGGAAATGCACAGGCCTTGTAGTGGGCTCCTTGCTTATTGGGCTTCTGCATTCAGGAAGCCAGTTAGTCTTCATAGTAAAACTTCCATTTTGTGGTCCTAATAATGTGGACAGCTTTTTCTGTGACCTTCCCTTCGTTATTAAACTTGCCTGCACTGATACCTATATCCTTGAGATACTGATGCTCTCATACAGTGAGATAATGGGTATGAGCTCCTTTGTGCTCCTGCTCATCTCCTACACAGTCATCCTGGTCACTGTGCGACGTCGATCCTCAGCAGGCATGGCCAAGGCCCGGGCCACCCTGACTGCCCATGTCACTGTGGTGACCCTCTTCTTTGGGCCCATGATCTTCATCTATGTCTGGCCTTTCAATGACTTCCCAGTGAATAAGGTTCTCTCGATATTCTATACTGTTTTCACCCCTCTCTTAAACCCCTTGATCTACACATTAAGAAATAAGGAGGTAATATTGGCAATGCAGAAACTGAGGAGGCGAAAATTAAGTTTCTAACAGTTTCTTGGTTTTCCTTTATGATAATGACAACCATAATAAAGACACCCACTTATATTCTATGCTAATCAAACTATTTGTATTTGAACCAAAATGTTAAATAGATTGAGGTAATTTCTTGTATATATAGTATAGGTGTTGCTAGCAATGTGAACTCTCACTACAAAGTACGTGAACTCTCACTACAAAGTATATAAACTTAAGAACTAAATAGTAATACCTTTGATGAACTCATTAAATGAACTCAGAAACCAGATTCAGAAAATAGATTCATGTACTTAAGCATGTAAAAGTAGCTTATTTAACCATGTTGCAAATAGCGAAACTGGGCCAACAATTAATGTTTCTTTGTCTCAGCGTACTAAATTAAAGTTCAGAATTGTTACTCAACGTTAGTGGATCAATGCCTACACACAAAAATGGATCTCTTTCTACATATTAATAGAAGTTTTTTTTTTTCTTCAATAGCACTGCTAAATGTATACCTCTGCTATATGTATTCTTTTACTTATTTCCGGGTCCTGCCATGTAATCTATACCACTTTTGATACTTAAGGTTATATGTCAATTTGACTTGGCCATGATTCCAGCAGTTTAGCAATTATGATGTAGTCATCTCCCATGATGTGAACTGATATAATGCAATCACCTCCATGATGAGATCTGCTGTGAGCAGCCAATCAGTTGAAGGGGTTTTCCTTAAAGGTGTGGCCTCCTTTCAATATATATGGATGTTCTGGAAAAGTCCTCTGGCTTTCTGCTGAGTGTGAGTCCTGCATCTTGTTGTCATCATCTGACCTCACGTTCTTTAGACCAGAGTTAGCTGCCTGCTATATTGCATGCTGATTTGGGGATTCATTAGTTTACACAGCCTGTGAGCCAGCATCTGGCCATCTTACCGGCTGATCTTGGATTCTTCAGCCTTCCTATACCATGAGTCAACAGTTTGACATCTTACCTCCAGTCTTAGGTTCATCAGACTCTGTAGCTATGTCAAACAGTTGAGGCCCCTAGCCTGATGTTTGATTCGGACTTTAGGACTTGCCAACTTTTACCACTTCATGAGCAATTTATTTGGGATAAATCTCTTTATCACTCAGTCTGTCTCTCTTCCTCTGTCTACCTACCTACCTATCTATAAGCATTTGTAAGTTTAACTGGATTTGCTACTGTAGAGAACCTAGCCTGAGATTCCACCCCCCCTTAAAATGAACAACTGTGAATACATATTTTTCAAAGCTCTCAAAAAGCATAACATCATTGTTTTGATTTTTTATAAGAAGTCTATATTTTCACTGTCTTTTGAATGACTATAAAGTATGAAATAGTATAGGATATATCTTCTTTGTTTTATTTATGGCATTTATTTTTATACTGAAAAACAAACCACTTTACTAAACATGAAAAATGGTTTTTCCCTTCTTTTGCCTATAAAATAATTATTTGATTTAGACAAAAACTATTATTCTTTTAAAAAAATTTATTTTGATATGGGTGAAAGTTTACAGAGCAAATTCATTTTCCACACAACAGTTCACACACATTTTGTTTCATGACATTGATTCCACTCCTCATAATGTACTATGTCTCTTCCCGCTTCCTTCCTGTGGTTACCTTTGCCTGGTGTCCTTCTTTCCTAGGAATTCCTTCCTCTGAGCTATCTCCCCATGCAAATACTTTCCTTCAGATCTCCCATGGTTGATTGTTCTATGGAGTGTGCCTATCTGGTGTAAATATTCACTGTGTATGCCTGTCTGTTTTTGACTGGAAGACATGAGAGTGAGCTCAGTTTCAAGGGCCATAGCCTCGGGAGTTTCACCAGTCTGTATCAGACCAGTAAGCCTTTTTTTTTTTTCTTTTCTTTTATGATTTTGAGTTTTGTTCCTATTTTCCTCCCATTCTCTCTAGGATCTCCTACACTGATCCTTTTCTGAGTAGCTGACAGTGGTAGCCAGGCACCATCTCGTTCTGACCTCAGGGTCATGAAGGCTGAGGTTCTCATGGTCTACTAGTTCTTTTGACTAATTGTTTTTGTTAGTCTTGGTTTTCTTCATTCTTCTTTGCTCCAGATGAGGAGAGACTAATTGTTGCATCTTAGATGACCACTTGCAAGCTTTAAGACCCTTGACACTATTCACCAATGTAGGACGTGGAATAATGCTTTTGTGTAGTATGTTATGCCAATTGAGCTTGATATCCCCTGTGACTGCAGTCCCTAGCCCATGAGTCTGACAACTCAGTCCCTCAGGGTGATTGGCTGAGGCTAAGAAATTGTTATAACTTTGCCCCTGATGGTGTAGTGCCTAAGGCATTTGACTGCTAACCCGAAGGCTGGCAGTTCAAACCCACCACCCAAGGAGGGGTCATTATGAATCATATCTGATTCCACAGCAGTGCGTTTTTTTTTTTTTTTTTTTAGCTCTATTATATATATGGGACTTCTTAAAGCACGTGCAAATAAAAATACAGAAATATCATCTGCCAAACTTATACCTGGTCATGACTATATTCCCTTTTGCCTAGACATAGCTGATTATTCAGCCTGTGTACCAGTATCCAGTTGTAGATTAATGTTTGTTACACTAATAATCCAGTATTATGTATGTAAAAGTGTTCATCTTTGTGGTCTGTACCTCTTGTGCACCTCTCTGTGTCTTTTGTTTCCTTAGAGTAATTGTGTTGGTTCTTCACTTTGGTATATTGCCTTTCCCTTCACCTAAATCAATTCTTGTCTCCTACATATGTAGCAGTTTTCCCTCCCCTCACTTCCCACCCCTGGTAACCAATAAAGAAAGTTTCTTTCCATATGTAAACCTTTCCTTGACTTTTTACAATAATGGACTCATAAAATATTTGTCCTTCTGTGTAATTGACTTATTTCACTCAGCATAATATATCCTCCAAATTCATCCACTTTATGAGGTGTTTCACGGATTCACATTATTCTCGAGTGTTGCAAAGTCTTTCATTATGGGTATGTACCATAGTTTGGTTATCCAATCCTCTGTTGATGGACACTTAGGTTGTTTCCATCTCTTTGCTATTGTGAATAGTGCCATGATGAACATGGGTGTGCATATTTCTATTCATTTCCTGGCTCTCACTTCTTAGGATATATACCTAGTGATGGGATTACTGGATCAACAAACCAAAAAAACAAACTCACTGGTGTTGAGTCAGATCTGACTCATAGCAAGCCCTCCTTGAGTTTCCAAGGTGATATCACTATGGAAGTAGATTGCCCAATCCTCCTTCCGAGGAATAGGTGATGGGTTTGAACTGCCACACTTCTAGTTAGCGATCAAATGTCTTAGGTACTACCCCACCATTCTTAATAATATTTTTTTTTTCCTATGAAGTTAATACTTCTATCAAATTCATGCTTATTCAACTTACCTTAGTAAATACGAAAATTTCCAAAACATTAAAGTAATGTAACATAATTAAATAGAATTTTTAAGTTTCAGAATAGTGTTTAATTTATAATTTTTCATACCAGTCATCATTTTAACTGAAATCACATTCTAATTTGAAACTGTCACCTTGATCATCTGACTTCTAGCATTTGACAGAAAAGACATCCAAAGTAAAGTTTTGCTTTTAAGAAGAGGTGGGAGAAATGGTAGTGTGGAATGGGATTTAAAACCAATTATCCTTTAAATACAGTTTAACTCACTTTCTCCTTTATAATTTCACCATTCTTTAAGGCCCTGCTGATTCTCTTCTGAAATTTAGAAAAAAAAAATCTAATATAGTATTGTATCATATGATGATTATTATATTGATTATAATGAAGTGAAAATTACATTCAATGGTCACTACAAGGAGCTCTGGTGGCGTAGTGGACAAAGCATTTGGTTGGAAACAAGAAAGTCAATGGTTCACACCCATCAGCTGCTCTGTGAAAGGAAGATAGGGCAATGTATTTCTGTAAATGTTTACAGCCTCAGAAACCCAATGGGGTCTCTAGGAGTTGGAATTGACTAGATAGCAGTGAGTCTATTTTTTTTTTTTTTTTGGTATGTAGGTGTAGGTAATAGGAATATCCATTAAAATGTTTCAACAAACAGATGTAGTGCTGGAGGTGCTTAATCATTTCAGCCAAGAAATTTGGAAGACAGCTGACAGCTGCCTAGCCAACTGAGTGGAAGAAATAAATATCTGTGCCCATTCCCAAGAAAAATGACCAAACACAATGTGGGAATTATCAAACCATATCATTAATATCACATGCAAGTAAAATGTTGCTGAAGATAATTCAAAAAAGTTTGCCACAATATATTGACAGGCAATTTCTGGAAATTTTAGATGGGTTCAGAAGAGGATGTGAAATGAATATCATTGCTGATGTCAGATGGATCTTGGTTCAAAGCAAAGAATACCAGAAAAAATATTTACCTGTGTTTTATTGACTATGTGAAGGCATTTGACTGTGGGGATCATAACAAATTATGGATAACATTGCAGACAATGAGAATTATAGAACATTTAATTGTGGTTGTAAGGAACCTGTAAGTAGAGCAAACTCACTGCTGTTGAGTTGGAACAGACTCATAGTGACCCCTCCTTGAGTTTCCGAGGTGGTATATCTATGGAATTAGATTGCCCCATGTTCCTTCTGAGGAGTGACTGGTGGGTTTAAACCACCAGCTTTCTGGTTAGCAGTCAAATACCTTAGGCACTACGCCGCCAGAGATCTTAGTAAATAGACCAAGAGGTTGTTTAAGCAAAACAAGGGGATACTGTGTGGTTTAAAACTAAGTAGGTTATACATCGGGTTGTTTCTTTTTACTATATTTATTCAATCTGTATGTTGAGCAAATAATCTGAGAAGCTGGATTATAAATAGAAAAATGCAGCATTGAGATTGGAGGAAGACTCTTCAACAACCTGTGAATATGCAGATGATACAACCTTGCTTGCTGAAAGTGAAGATGACTTGAAGCCCTTACTGATGAAGAGCAAAGATTACAATGTTCAATATGGACAATACTTCAACA